GTTGCAACGGTCGCAGCGAGCTACGTATCTGAGCAAGAAAAAATATTATACAAACCCATTTCAGGATTAATTTAAACATTTGGACGTCTTACACATAGCGAAACTCGGAAAGAAAAACACGGAGGTGGCAAACTGTAATCTGGACATTTTTTTCAACGACGGAAGTTCGTAAATGAAAATGCCAAATGGTGTCGTCATTCAGTCTTCAATGTCTTATTTATTCAAATTCGGACTATATAATAAAACAATTATGGACTCTTTTGGTGTTTAATATGGTTTGTTATTCACCAGAAAAATATCCATATTGACCTCGGCTTCGCCTCGGTCAATATGAATATTTTTCTGGTGAATAACAAACCATATTAAACACCAAAAGAGTCCATAATTGTTTAATGTCATATGAATTACTTGATAAATCATATCACCACTGTCGTGTCAAGTTAAATTCTTTCGTGGAACAAAAATACAATATTCATATAAAGGTATTCCTTTTTTCAATTCTGATTTACCCCCCCCCCCACCCCCCCTTAATAGCTTACTAATGAAAGGATTTTTTCTTTCAAATTGAAATCTAAGATATTTTGAATGTATCACCTTTTAAATATCTCGTTTTACATGGCTTTTGCGGTGTCCTTTACTTTTTATTTAAGAAGGTTATTTGATTTACTTCCTGCAGTCAACAAGGAAGTCAAATGAAGCTTCATATTAATATTTATTCTTAATATACAAAAAATGTTGTTAGAAGAGATCTTTATAAATATTCTATACACTTTCTTCCAAAAATATAAGGTTACGGTAGGTATCTCTTACACTACTTTTTTATACAATAGAAGAAATATGTTGTTTTGACATCATTCCGGCATTAGGTTTTATATCAGAAGTCTATAATTAAAATTACAAATATAAAATGATTGTCTTAAATAAATTCTTAGAAAGGTGACACTCGTAATACAATTTGCAATTAATCTGGCAAATATTCTTTTAAAAGAATTGAAAAAAGAATTATTAAATAAAGTAAGGTGGCAGTCATAAAAGAAGAATCGAGTTAAATAAATATATTTTTTGAGTTTATGAGTATTTACAACATGAAGTACAAAAACATTCCAATAATTTTAACATTCTTATCAATGTTTATCAAATCCCACCTGATGTACAGGTATCTCATTAACCAATACAGCTCCTCTTTTGCCTTCAACCTTCTCTTAGATTTTTTTTGTTCATTGATGAAAGGCAAACCCTTGTGCATTTAACTTTGGATCCATATTTTCATAAGCAGATCAGCTTAGCTTTCATTAATACTTTTAAAGTTAAAAAAAAACAAAACCAAATACGCCTTGTAATTCAAATTAATCAATAATTTTTTTTATCCGATTTTATAATAAGTATAGTTAATCAAATCAAATCGTACATCAAAACTACGTCAAGCATCTCTTACAAACTAACTTTAAGACAAATTTGAAAAAAAAACCCAAACAAATGTGAGATTTTGAGTTTTAATCCATTTAAGGAATGAAGCTTATTTCAACTGATGTTATCCGATAAAACAAAACTTACAGATTACGCTTCATAAACTGGGAAGTTTTATTATATTGGATAACATAAATTTAAAAAAGCTTCATTCCTTATAATTTAATTCAATAATTAAATAATATAATTTAATATCAGTGTAGACAATGAGGCTATTTTTCCTCCGGAAAAAGGCTTCAAATTGAGCATTATTTTAAACGTAACGTCAAGCAGAGTAATACGCTTTTGACGTAACTCATTGTGACGTAGGCAAGTTATGTTATACGAAATGGATGAAATCATTTACTAAATCAAATGACGTTTAACATCAAAGATTAATTTTTTAACAAAAGCACTTAAACAAAATCATTTGTTATTCACTTCCTCCTAAAGTGTCGGGTACATACATGAACATATATTTATGTTCCTTAGTTCTCCTACCTGACGAATGAGCTTGTTTTTTTTTTTTTGTTAAAAACAGGCAAAAACAAATTACATCATGTGAAATATGTCATTTATGAAAGTAAATGACGGAAAAGTAAAACACAGTGAAGAAAATGGGTGTCAGAAAAGGGAGGGGCTCAAATATAGAGTATTACATATTTTTGGCAAAATCTCACATAATCTGACCCCCAGCAACATACACAGGGAAAAGTGGCTTACATGATACTCATGTGACTATCTTTTTATTTGAAAAATTATGTGAAAATCATATGAAAATTATATAAATTTATCCCATATTTAACCTTTATCCCTTTGATATAGCTCATGTGATATCGTTTTCATATCACACAGTTGTGACGTCAGAATGGTTTATGCGTTAGAGTGATGAAGTAAAATGAAATGGAGTCCTATATAAAAACAGTGTCAAAAATTGTTCGTGGTGTAAAAACCATGGGATAAAAAGAATCTCACATGATTGGTAGTTGGATATGATTTTTATCTAACGAGTTGTGTGGATTTTATCCCTGAGCCATGATCATGTGAAATCCTATACTGTATATATTTGCATCTGAATATTATGTGAATATAAGTTCATATGATATTCACATAAATCTTTTTTTGAACTTTCATGTGAAGTTTCCTTTGCATAATATTTAATCTGTTTATGTTAAATTCATATTAAATTTATGTAAAAATCACATGAAGTTTTCACATAAATTTCACATGTCTTGTTTTTCGTGTCTTTTTTTGAAATTTTTGTGAACAACTTTTGCCTGTGTACTGATATTGTAACATGATGTACATAGGTAAAGGGGGGGGGGGGGGTAACCAGACAAAAATAAGAATTCAAACCCTGTAATCTTTTACATGATACAATATACATGTTTTCAAGTTGACCCCCTTATAAATGAAATGCTCTAAACTTTTGCCTGCAATAAAAAAAAAGGAAAACATAATAACCATCAGCTAACTACAAATCAATCAGTCATGCGTTAAAATGAAGACTCCAATGCTTCCCTCGCTGCAACTCTATTTTATGTTCAAAAGTCATATGGAAACCTTCAGTCCGCAGCAATATTGCGGATTGAGATTTTAACTGATTTTCGCCAACCAATTTTCTGGCGGCTACCACATAAATAACTGGCGGCCGCCAGAATAAAATATATCTAGCTGTCACCAAAAAAAAAAAAATTATATGGTGGCCATCAAAAAAGTATTCGTCGGTTGCGATATGATTTTTGGAGGCCACCAGATCTATTTATCTGGAGGCCGCCAAATGATTTTTAGCAGCCTCCAGATAAGTTATATAGTGGCCGCCATAAAGTTATTTGGCTCCTGCCAGATACATATTTAGCGACCGGCAGTTATTTAAATGGCGGCCGCCAGATGAAATTACTTGCTTTACCTCGCATCAACCGGCTTCAGTATGAAACCCTTTCAATAATTTGGACATTATATTTGTTTATGGCATATTTATGATGAAAAATTTAAAGTAAATTTAGAAAAAAAAAAAGTTTATTGGTAAGGTTTAAAATACTTAATATTACCTCCAAACATGTTATAACTTTCATGTCTTGCAAGCACATTGGTGTCGATCGCACAAGATCTAAAATTAATTTTGATATAAACGGATATGTTTGCTTTTTCATTATCAGAAAAATAAATCAACTGTGGTCAAGTGTTGAACCAATAGGATTTTACACATTTATCAAAACTGTCATCTCCAATATACGTACCTATATATCCTTACACTGATCTAATGCTACACCCTAAATTATTATTAGAAGACCAAAAAGATAAAAACCAAGAGCGTACATATATATATTAAGTGAAATGCACTCTGGATGTTAAATGATTACGCAATGTACATGCGATGCTGAAAATTTCCTATTTTGGTCATATCTTTCTTTTTCTCTTCTTTTTCCTCTAATTTTCTTTACCTTCTAGGATTTTTTTTCTTCTGAAAATGATTTGAAACTGGCTTCAAACGCTATATTTACCTGTGAAATCAATTTCGAATAATATTGATTGATTGTATATTGTTTAAAGTCCCTCTTGAGAATTTTTCACTCATATGGAGATGTCACCGATGCCGGTGAAGGGCTTCAAATTTAGACCTATACTCGGCACTCAGGGTCATTGAGCAGTGAGAGTTCTTTATCGTGCCAGCGCCTACCGTGACACGGGACCTACGTTTTTAAGGTCATATCCGAAAGACCCGTGACTTTCACTTCTGATGCCGAGCGCTTGGCGAAGGAACAGTCACTACCTATTTTTACGTCTAAGGTTTGACGCGGCGCCGGGAACGAGAATCGAACCCGGACCTCCCGATCACGAAGCGAACGCTCTACCACTAGGCTACCGTGAACGGTATTTCGAATAATATAAATGGCTACAAGATGGTACCAAAATATGTACAAATGTACCCCAGTGTCAATATAAGATAAATAATTAAGCCTTACGTTTTTAAGTTTGTACAGAATTATCTAAAAATCGATCATGGCGTCTTTATGTGTCTCGTTAAAACAGGTGGGCTAAGAGGCTGCTGGTAATAGATTTTTAATGCAGCTATTTCCTATATTGGGTCTTGCGTAAATGTCGAGAATATTATTTCAGTCACAAATTTATGCATTTGTCCAAACAACATCTATATTTTCAATTAAGTTTAAAGAGAATAAAACTGCAATATTGTTATTATTAATGAACGCACTGAATAATAATTAAACCCATCGTTAAACCTGACTTCTGATTATTTCTTATGTCCTGTTAATTTAAAAACACTTGATTTTATGACGCGTTAGTTGAAATTGTTTCAAATAAAATTGTGAACACATTTCTTCTTTTTTGGATTTTTTTTTCAAACGGAAGTCTTAAATGTTTAATAGGCCTGAAACCTATTAAACACGAAGCCTTTTAAATAGCTTATATACATAAACAGCTTTTGTTGTGTAGTTCTTAAGTTTCGTTTTACCTATTTTGATCAACAAACCATATAACCCACTCCTCGCAGTCAACCAGGAAGTCGAATGAAGCCTAATATTTAATTCTAAATACACGAAAATGTGGTTGGAAGTGTTATTAGTAAATTTTTTTCTACACACAGTACCAAAGATCTCAGGTTTTGGTGAGTATCTCACACTCTTCTTTCTCTTATACTGTTGTAGAAATTTGCATTTTGTAAATAAATTTAATCTTTTCGATTTGTTTTTATTTCCATCATTGAAAAGCGCTGTAGATACTGTTATTTACACATGGACTCGAAATGAAATACTCTTTAAATGAATTTACAGTTAATCTAGCGCATGCACCTGGGCAGGCTCTACAGGGAACTGCCTCTTGGAATGTTGTTCCTCATACCAGCACCTGGAGTGCTGACAAAGCGGTTGATGGTGACACGAGACAGGACTATCTTCCTACGTGTGCTATTGCTAACTACGATGCGTACACTTATAAATCAGTTTGGTGGAAAGTTTGGTTAAACAGGAAATTTAATATAGCATATGTGGAAATCTATCTGCGATCCGTAGGTAAGTTTTTTTTTTTTTAGTTTTCTTTTTACTTATTTGTTGTGATATATATGTACGGTTAAAATTGCTATGATTTATATCTTAAGGACATATGACACATACTTGTACAAACCTTTGATTAAAATATTGCAAATAACAATTTTAGTCATGCTTTAAATGCGTGAAGTGATCAAGTTTCACAGCGTAGTTTTTAATTTTTTATTAAAAATTTCACAATAAGTACATGTATAGGGATTTGACTTGAAAATGTTGAAGAGATAAATAAGGATGGTTGCAGAAAGGAAGCACTTTGAGCCTCGTAGAAAGCTTACAATTTCTTTATGGATCTTTAAGAATTGATGTGTTTGTATAGCGCCATGCCATAATAAGCATGGTCGTATAAATTAGATCTACCTTGTTTTTGTTGCCTAAAATGTGCTGTTAACAGTTCTTTTTATGGATTGATTCATTATATGTTGTTTAACGTCCATCTAGGGAATTTTTTCACTCATATAGAGATCGTCGCCAGTATTTGCTTGTGTCCATGGAAAGCTTCAGATTTTGTCCTATACTCGGTACTCAGGGCCATTGAGCAAAGTGGAATCATTTCCTTACGGCACATACTGTGACACAGGACCTTCGTTTAAATAATCTCATCCGAAGGACCAGTTTCGACGTCGCACATAGGGATTTTAACCCGCAACGTAACTCCTTACTTCGCGACTCTAGAGCATTCACTCTAACAACTGCGCCACGCGGGTGACTCTTAAAAAGTTTGATAAAAAACATTTTAAATTGAAATTACATCCCTTTATTGCGTGGACCCTGAGGTCCACGCAGTAAATATATAAGCGAGGCTAAACAGGATGCCCTGGGCATACGCCAGCCTACGCATGCGCGAGAATTCTAGAGAGTTCCAATCGGCAATCTTCGGCTGACTCCGCTTCGCCAATCGCAACTTCTCGGGCCTTTTCGACTAGCTTTCCGACATTTGATAGAAAACCCGAAATGATGCGATTGAGAGTTCATTGGCGGATCCAAATTTTAATCTTGTACACATACTTTTAAACACGAACTAAACATTGAATCTATGGCACAAACATTTTAAAAAGTATGAAGAACTTACATTTAGCTAGTCGTTGAATCTTTTAAAAACATAGAGCTAGTCGTTGAATGAAGTTTTTAATTCAAGTTGTTAAGTTATCTATTAGTCGTTAAATTAAGTTTTTAATTCAAGTTTGTTAAGTTATCTATAGATAACTTTACAACTTGAATTTAAAACTTCATACATACTAGTTGTAGGTTTTTAAAAGATAAAACAAGTCTTCACCGGCATTAATGTTGTTCATCAAGGCTCGCAAAAAAATTGATACATATGGATTCAAATACAGCTTGATACAAGCCTTTAGCAACGGTATTCCATGTTGGGAAGAGGGGGGCTTCAGAAAAAAATCTGCGTACTACAGACCTGAACTGAATTTTGAAACTGAAAAAAAAGTTCAGTTCAATTCAGTTCAGGTATATGTTAATTACCAGCCATTATGGGTTATATATGCATCAAAATAGCCTGGAAAATAACAAATGTATATGCCAATCAGAGATTAAATTTAACAATTTTGCTATAAAGTACTATCGGACAAAGTAGAGAGATCGCTGTAGAAAATGCGAACGAACCTACATTAATATCCAATAAACTTAACAAATTTTCTTTGATTGCATGAATTTCGGTTAAAAGAAAACATGCATATGGTCCATGTATTGTAGTCCTTTTTTTAAAGGACAGCAATTTGTTTTATCATAAATAAAACAGGTTCATTTTAATTACCTTAGAATCATATGAAAATATGCACGGAAATTATTGAATAGTGGAAACACATATCAAGTTTCATTTTTTATTCATTCGACTTTTTTATTACCAAATTATAATTGAAGGTCGCCTAGTACATTTTAGGTATGATAAAAGATACATTTTGATTAAGTTTTTAGTTTGAATCCTGTTCCTTACAAGCAGAAAAAGTATATCTCTTAAAATATGTCTTTCAAAGCGACAGGCCGGGCAACTGGTTTTTCCATATATTCTTACGAGGACGTATCGTATACTCCTCCCACTGGAGACACGGGGCAACTTATTTACCGTCACGACCCTATGTCCGGATGTCCAGCGTTCCTCCAAAACATAACTGTGAATAAAGTAGCTCAGGGAATAGCCTTCTTTAACGAAAGACCAGATGGATTTACGTCAAGCTGTTCATACACAAGCGCAACAAAGACCTCAGTTGAAATATGCGAAGTGAGAGTTATGGGTAAGTTGAATTTAGAAAATATATTCGCCAATCAGTTTTGATTAGATATCAGAATGATTTACCTGATTTTGAATCCTTAAAAATTCTACATATCTCGGTATTTTACATCTTGAAAAAATCATACAGAGAAAAATTTCAGAAAAAAAAATCTTAAATTACTCTCTACCTATGTTGCAGGTTGTGACCAAAATAGATACCCATTTGGATGCAGTAAAGAATGCAGTACTAAATGTAAGGACAGACACTGCGATGTATTTAGCGGATCATGTATCTATGGCTGTTCTAATCCTGGCGCTGTGTCCTTAGATTGTACTGGTAAGTTTAACTGCATGTATGGAAAGAACACTTTTTATGCTATGAAATGTTTTGATATAGAATTTAAATCTAGTTCCCAAAAATATATGTAATATTTTTCTGCAGATAACACGCATAATTTTGTATTAAAAATATTAAGGACAAAAAGTTACTCCTATTTTTTGATATACAATAGAGAAGCACAAATATTCTTGGGGGCTTAAATTTCGTTTACTACGTTGTTAACAGTTATCAACGATATTAAATCAGACACGAAATTTGATAGATATGACTATCTTTTTCAAAGAGTTAGTTTCACAACAACGAAATTAAATGCCCATGAAACTATTTTTGATGGCATATCATTGGAATTTTTCCCCACCCAATTTGTGCTTCCACAGTATATACTTTTATCATCAAACATTATCATTGTTTGTATCTACAAACAAAAATAAATAAATAAACGTAAATATAAGCATGATTTTGCTTTTATAGCCATTGTTGATCCATTTGCCTTTCCATCAAGTTACTGTAGACAATGTGTCATGTGTGTCATGTGTAATGACCTCTAAATCCTACTCAATTTCTTTAATTTCACATGATTGATTCCATATCATCTTAACAACTTATTCCCAGGAAATTTACACAAAATGTATTACCTTGTATTAGTGTGTGATGACGGAAAGTATGCTTTAAATGATCGATGTGAACAATGTGGACACTGTCAGGGGGACACAGTGTGTGAAAAAGGAACAGGAAGATGTCCGTCTGGTTGTAAGGAAAACTGGATCGGGGATATTTGTAAAGGTATGTATTTGGTTTACACTGAGTCCCATTAGGGACCTTTTCCCATCTCAGGAATTTCTATACGTCTTTGTATTATTTACTTTAACAATTGTGTGTTATTTGAAAATATTTTAAAATTCATATTATTTTTTAAAGATCAGTCAAAGTTCTTTGTCTTCACCTTTAATCAAATCTGTTAAAACGACTATATGTACGAGGGCTGTTTGAAAATTATTGAGACAATATTTACAGTTCTCTTTATATTTACTTTAACTCCATAAAGGGCAGAGATACATTCAGGAAATTCTGAAAATTCGTCAAAATTTTTTAAAGAACGAATAAAACAATAATGCAGAATTTTTAATTTATAGAATAATTAGATAGGTTCTGGCGAAATTATATACATGCATATGTCTATCGACCTGGGGCAGCATTGCTACGTCTTTTAACGTCACGTTAGCCGATGTTTTCACATGTGAAATGATATGATCGATCGGGAAGCGTTGACTCTTCTTTCTTTGTTACCATATATAACATTACAAAAATCAAACTGTCTCTTATCTTAAACGATTTTTCAAAAATCTGTAGTGTTGCTACACAAAGTATAAAAATGTCTAATGTCACATATAGCTGATCACTTAGCATCATGTAATGCCAATTTATGTAGCGCGGTCAATGATATTAAATCTGTTACGGTAAAATAAAATTGATGGTCGTCCAGAGCGCTCGATTCTACTCTGGTTGAATTATTGGTCAGACAAAATATAGACAAATGAAATAACTATCCCTCAAACTGTTTTTGTACTCGTTTTAATTGTTTAAGTAGGTTGGTCAGTCTGGAAAAGAGTTCTACATATAGCTATATAAAATTCAAGGTCTCTTGCTGCTCTGCCTTGACGTCGAAATTCATCTTTGTCATCGTTATTAAATTTCTTTATCAAGCCTTATTTTTTTTATGATATCCGTATTTCTGATCAGAATTCTAACAAATTTGCACAACATGAGGTCAACGTAAAATTAAAAAAAATATATACATAAATTGAATTATTTTTGCTCTTATTATGGGCCCATCATGGGTTAGAATGTTGGTAATACATAGTTTCAATACCTGAATTCATGACTGCACAGGGTACCCCTACCATTGACAAACTTTTATTCCACTGAAGAGAAGATATTTTATATTTGTAAATCATTTCTTGTTTTTATTAGTTCTTAATGTCTCTCCAATGCATACGCAAATTTTAAGCGATAGACGTTCATTAGAAAGAAAAATATACGCAGTTCCTCAATAATTTCCCAACAGCCCTCTTTCTCAGACACTTTAATGCATACACAACCTCTATCTTTAATACCTTTATTAGAGATCATGTTCTTCTTCACCCTATAACAATAGTCCTGCTGAACACGTTATAACAGGTGACGTAAATATAGCTAATAATGAGGACCTTAGATCACTTATTTTAAAAGGTCGTAAATATAGGGAACCCCGATCCTTCAATCGGCGTCAGAATTTCATTAATATTATGGATTCCGTTGAAAATTACGCCAGATGATGAGCCAGAAATGAAAAGGATGACGTTGACACCTTCTCAGAATGGATTAATAATGTATCAGATCTATGTTAAAGTAATATATTAAAAGATTGGGGGCAATATAAAAACCACCAATCTTTCTGTGTTCAATAAACCAGAAGTGAAGAAAGAATTTGATGGATTACATGATCATAACGTACTGGTTCCTGCCGACAAAGCAGGTAACAACATTGTCTTCGCTTATAAAACCCATTATATAAATTGTATTCTTGAAGAACTTGGATTTAGTGCTATAAGTGTTAATCCTACTTATACTCATACTTCCCTTTCTAAGGAAGAAATTCTTCAAAATCATATGTCAGTTTTGAATATTTTTAATATTCCACGGAGCCAAAATGAATATGAACTACCATACATATATTGGATTCCAAAACTTCATAAGAATCCTTACAAACAAAGATACATTTACTTTACAGGTTCAAGTGAATGTCCAACCAAGCCTCTTTCGTTACTCCTCTCTAAAATATTGAATTGACAGTAGTGAAGGAAAAACTTCAAGAGTACTGTGCAACTATTAATTCAAGAAGTGATGTGAATCAGATGTCGATACTAAAAAATTCCAAAAAAACTTTTGGAGAATTTCAATTTGAAATCACAAGATTTTACCAAAATCAACAGCTTAAAAACTTACGATTTTCAACATACCAACCAAGTTATATGATAAACGTGAAGACTTTAACTTTTCTATCGTCAACTTCCCGTACTTATGCAGTAATATACCTTCATTACCTGCATACGGAGTGTATTATGTATATATCTCGGTTGATTCGATACACAATTTCTAAAACGAGGTAAATTATTGACAAGCAAGTTGATTAAACAAGAATATCAGCAGTCTCATTTTGTAAGTTCTTTGGTCGATACAACGACCTTGTCAGCAAATACAATTTATCATTGAGTCAAATGCTGACTGACATTTTTCATACCAATTGTTATACCATTATTTATACACTGAATTGACGACGGATTGTCCTGTTATTTCACAATCATGACAATGAGCACATGGTGGGTGTGACCGGTCAGCAGGGGATGCTCACTCCTCCATGGCACCTGATCCCATCTCCGATGTTTCGGAGGTCCGTGTTTGCTCTGCTCCTATTTTGTATTGTTTTATGGACTTTGATATTGCATACTGTTCGTTATCTACATATCCTTAATTCAGCGGATCCGTCTAACGTGATATCACACATCGTTTTCCGTACTTAAGCAATTTCACAAATTAAAGAATTGTTTCGATGAAAACAAAAAACTTAAAAAATCTTCACAGCGAGTATTGATAAAGCGTTCTCTAGTAAGGTTTAAGAAAGTACATGTAACTGAACCTTTGTCAAGTGTCTTACATTTGAAGTAAAAATCACGGCTTTGTCGGTGGAATCCCAATATGTCAACAGGGCTTTAGGAAATATACTTCTCACCTAATCAAGATTTATAGCCATTCACTGCCATAAAGACATTTCTATATTAAAAAGAATGTTTGGGTTTCAATTATCGATAATATGCTGTCTAACGACCCCACTCGAGAACACTTTACACGCATATAAAGAGGTCACCAATTGACGATGGAGAGCTGCAAATTCTGTCCTATACTTGGCACTCAGGGGCATTTAGCAGGGATGGGTTCTATTTCATTCCAGCGCCTGCTGCGACAGGGTAGCCCGATTTATACGGTCCCATCCGAAGGACTGGTCTCTATTCCTTACTCTCGACTAGGCGCTCTACCTACTGCGCCACGCAGGCGACTTTTGGGTTTTTTAATTTAAAAAAGTGTACACTTAATTTTGCTAGTTCATTACTAATAAAAAATGCTATTTCGCTAAATTTATATGTATTTATAAAATGAACAGAATGATATCCCTTTCTGTAAAGACGACCTGCTTTAAATTACCTTAATTGATATTAATTCTCTTCGAGTTTTCCTAAAAACCGGTTAGAATGATTTGAATGTCCTCGGCCTTTACAGGATTTGCTCACGTGACCGACCCACTTCAATTCCCATTGAAGTTTATAAACTTGTTATTTATTTCTTAAATAACAACTTTCCTCGCACAAGTATTTTGTAGTTTAAGCCTCCCTTAGATCAAGAAGCAATGAATAAATTAATACTTATAATTACCTCTTTGGTTTCTATTCTACAGCTAGATATATTATGAATACAAGTTAAATACCGAATACCCACTTAAACTTAAAAATATATATAAAGAAAAAGTACACAGTAGTAATCTGAACAAGCATACTTTTTTTCAGAATGTGCAGATGGTTACTATGATGTGAACTGTAGTGCACAGTGTGGAAATTGTCTTCAAGGATTTTGTGACAAGAAAAACGGAAACTGCCTATCTGGTTGTAAACCGAACTGGAAAGAACCTTTGTGTCAAGGTAGATGTTAAAATTCATGTTGTTCTATTTTCTTGTTTTCCAAAAAATTCTACGATTATTTCATATATGTTATAAGTGTCAGTTTAACCCTTTCCATGGTAAAGATTTAAAACATTTCTAGACAAATTGATATTATGATTTCAATGCATTTTTAAAAGTATTTCTTTTAATTTTTGTATACTCCAATTTATATTTATTCCGAAAGCAGGTATTGTGTAGTTTCTGAAAATGATTATAAAAATATCATTTCAGTTGCCATGGCAACGAAATACATCATAAACATACTGGAATTTCCGTTTATTTAAGAATGAGTTTCATTTTCATTTTTTCCCTTAGTTAGGGCCGTTCAAAACTTACGCGGACTGTGCTATTATTTACTCTTACAGACGTCATATAGTTATGAAATTTCATATAAATATGTACCTTAAAAATTCCAATAAATTTTGGGCAAAATTTCTGTATTTTAAAAAAATTCTACTAAAATTATAGGTATGTTGATATCGTTGATGGAGAGGTACGGAGCACGACAAAAATATTGAAGCAAAAGCATGCGGAATCCAAAATTTAACTAATTAATTTTCTATAATTCGTGATATTTTTCGATAATTTTCTCAAATGTATCTTTAAATTGTTCTATTATTATGCATTTAGATTTCTGACGTGATATTTGAAGAACTAACAGAAATATAGTGATTTTTCTCTGATGTGATTCCCGCGAAAACGACCGTGAAAATGACGTCTCCTGAATTGACGGCGCTCCACACTTTTGTTAAATTATGTGTAATGCTCGAGATATCGCCAACATAGATCCAAAATGTGCATAATAAAACATATAGTAAATTAGGGTATTCGTGACATTCGTCCACAAAAAGCAAATATTGAAATTTTAGACCGTCAGACTTCTTTAAAAAGGCTATACGGTAGGACGGGAAGAAGATCATCGATGAAAACATTATCCGGACTGTAAAGAACGTGATTGAGAGTTACCAGTATCACACTATATCTCATAAATATATGCAGTTTTTGGTTTTAAAACAAAAAAGAATATTCTTTACTTATTTAATATATTTTAAGCTAGACTGGAAATGGTGTTTGGATGTTGAGTAGATAAGGTAACTCAAACTGTACAGGTTCTCTTGGGAAAATGTTGAGAAAATGACAGCTCAATAACATATTTTTTTATAATGCCTGTGACTCGAAGATTTTGCTGCTCCATGACTTAATGATATGTCCTGAAAAATCACTCAAGATTGATACCAGTGTACAACATTTTGATATGAAATGTTGAAGACCTTATAAATTGAGATTCTTTTATATTATGTATGACATTTTGCCCGATTATTTCGTCAAATATTTTTTCTGTGCGACAAGTCCGCGTAATTTTCGAACGGCCATCGTATATAAACAAATAGTTTATTATTGTGTTGAAAATTATGAGCCTGGTGTACATTTTTTTACAAACCAATTTTAAGTATCTTGAAGGACGGAGATGGGTTGGGAGGTAATCACCAGAACTTAGCATTCTAAATATAACGTGTTACCCCTGCATTGATTTTGTTAATTGCAAAATCGCTCAAATAATGGGCAAAGTTTAACTCAATCCAGCAAAAAACTGGTACAACCAATAAAAAAAAAGATTCTGTATGATATTTTATCGTAATAATTATCTCTTTCTAACGATGCAAGATTTATTCTGATATTTGCAGTATTAACGAAATTATGAATGTTTTTGTTAAACTATACTCGTTTTTTAAAGTCAGATGCCTACAAATTCGTAAATGCCATTTAAGGGGTTAAACTGTTATACATATGAAAAAAAATAACTTTTTTTTACAACAGTAGAGCATCAGCAACTTAAAAAGACAAAATAAATTTTATAGAATGAGCAGACGGTTACTTTTGCCAGAATTGTGCTATTTAGTGTGGAAATTGTCTACAAGGTTTTTGTGACAAAACAAACTGCCTTTCTGGTTTCAAATTGAACTGGAAAAAGTTTTTCTGTCAATGTATTTGTAACTTCATAATGGCTGCTGTACATAATTCTCGTATTTATATGTTTTTCTAGGCAGGAGATTTGATATGTGTAACTAATAGATATTTAATATAAAGAGGAAGAAAACTTTAAGTTGTAAAAAGTTATGTATAGGGACTATGTAAAGTATAATTTAAGAAAAGAACTACTATTCTAATTATAGAATGTACTGATGGTTACTATGACCAGAATTGTAGTATCAGATGTGGACACTGTCGAGATAGATTTTGTAACAAGAAAACTGGAATATGTTCATCTGGCTGTAAACTGAATTGGAGAGAGCCCTTATGTCAAGGTAGAGAAGTCACTACGAGCGATGTGCATTTTTCTCGTATTTACATTTTTGGCTTCTGAATAAACAGTTTCATACTGTTGTATATTGCAAATTAAAAGAATTAAGGAAAAGTCTTTCAATTGAAAGAAATGATAAATACTAATTCATAGTGAAAAGATGCACAAAACCCCTTTTAATTATGGAATGTGCTGACGGTAACTACGTGCAGAAATGTAGTGCTTAGTGTGGAAACTGTGGTGAAGGATTCAGCAATTAACAAATAAAAAATATTATTATAGAATGTGTTGACGGTTACTATGGTCCGACTTGTAGTACTCAGTGTGAAAACTGTCGAGAGGGACTTTGTGACAGGAAAAACGGATCCTGCCTAAGTGGTTGCAAAATAAACTGGAAAGAACCTCTCTGTCAAGGTATTTTAACTTATTATGAGTGTTTGCATTATTGTGAATACATGAGAATGAGATATTATGTAACTATTGCGTAGCTATTAGAAATTATAGAAATAAATGGAAAAAAAAATTCTTTGTAAGAAGTGATGTATAGGACTTTATAAAGGAAGGTTTATATTATATATCTTACAATAATAGAATGTGTGGACGGTTACTATGGACACAATTGTAATGTCATATGTGGTAATTGTCGAGAAGGATTTTGTGAAAAAATAAACGGAAGTTGTTTATCTGGTTGTAAAATAAACTGGAAAGAACCTCTGTGTCAAGGTAAATATTTAGCGTCAAAATGAGCGACTTGCATTATTCTCTTATACACAGGGTTTTTTGGCTTATGAATAAGATGTTTCAAGCTAATGCCTATAACAACTTAAAAGAAGAAAAGTCTTTTATTTGAAAGGAACTCCCAATTTATAATGCAAAATAAACCCAAAAAAATCTCTCACAATTATAGAATGTGCTGATAGGTACATGTACTATGACCAGAATTGTAGCACTCAGTGTGGTAATTGTCGAGAGACACATTGTGACCTGAAAAACGGAAGTTGTATATATTTTGATGTAAACGCGGTTTTATAGCGGTTTGGTAGTAGGGCACTGAGATTTCATTCACTTAAGTTTAACCCTTCATTATCCCTACGAAATATAAGAACAATCACTTAATTTGATTAATCTATTGTATAAGCATTTTAACCTTAATCTGGTATTGATACCTTCTGTAGCTATAAGATATTATATATTTATAAACTGGACTTGCTTATAAGAAGATGTCAAAATTAACATTACTAAAGCATTAATATAATGAGTAAACAACTTTAACTATTTAGAAATCTTTGTCTTGGCCTAAATTATATTGTATATTTTCTGTATAGTTTTATTAATCAACATCATAAGATTCTTTACGCAGAATGTGTTGACGGAAATTATAACGGAGACTGCAGCAGACAGTGTGGACACTGTCTTACCGGAGTTTGTGACAAGACTGTTGGAACTTGTGTAAGCGGATGCTTACAAAACTGGCAGGAACCTCTGTGTCAAGGTAAGGTTTTACAATTTTTTTCAGAATTTCTTTCTTTTCACGTTTCATAAATTATGGTATCTAAACATTAGATGGGAAAGTTCTCTTTATAGTATTTATATAAGCAGTCACGCATGACCTTGATTATTATGTTTAAAATCTTTATAAACGTAGTTACCTGATTGATTTTTTTTGTTTTACTAGTTTCTTTCAAATTTAAAATTAACTAAGCTTGAGCGAGCTTATCAATAGTCTTAAAAAATATACAATAAGGAACACAAATACTGCATAATCATTGACAAATTTTTAAAATGCACTGACGGAATCTCTGACCAGAGTTTCTACACTATAAGTTAGCATTATTTTAATAGATTTTATGTTCAATATAATGACTTTGTTAACAAATATAACGCATCCATGGGTAGATTTTTTGACTTAAGTTAATCAAACTTGTTCGGATTTCACTAAGAAATAAGAATATTACCTGTACGCATATCTATTTAATGCCCAGAACGAATAAGGCTGACTCAAAGGGGGGAGTTCACTAATCTTAGGTACCTGATCAGGAGAATGCTATATTAATAATGGATAAGTAATTTCAAATGTCACGAGATTTTTTAAATTTTCCCAAGTTTCGTATTCTCATGCTATATTTTCCATTCAGAATGTATTGATGGATTTTATGGTGAAAGCTGTAACACACAGTGTGGAAATTGCATCCAAGGACTGTGTGACAAGGGGAATGGTACCTGTATGATCGGCTGTTTACAGAACTGGGAGGGTCCTATATGTCAGGGCAAGTTTTTAGTTTTATAATAATTCCTTAATGGTACTACATAACCATAAATTGTTTCGAGTAGTAATATGCATTATAAACAAACATGGTTTTAACTTTCTTTTATAACATATTTATCAAACCAAGTTGTTTTAGTTTTAATTCATTAATTCAAAACTACGATTAAAGATAGATGTTAAGAAATACCTAAGAAACAAGCTTTCATTTTTTTCTAACATCATATTCTTTAAAAATCATCTGTGTATTATGTTTTTGCTATGAAATCTAAAGATCAACAACTATAGTAAAAAGAAAAAAAAAACAACAAACAAACAAACAAAAAAAAAAAAGAAAAGAAAAGCGACCACAGATATAAATAAATATAAAGAGGATTCGAAATATTTTTTCTTCATTTTACTGAGTTTTGAGTGAAATTGAAAATATTTTATTTGTTTAAAGGTAAAGAATTTCATCTGAAGACCTCACAAATCGAGGATATAATTTAAAGAATTCTATCATTGAAATTGTATAATAAAAGTATATTGTATTCTAGTTTCCACTGCAAAAGAATCAAGAACGGGTGGTAAGTAGTTCGACAATTAAAAATTGTACTCGTGAATTATAAATGTTTTCTCAAACTCTACATAAGGGATACAATTTACATTCTGGCACAAATTTTGTTGTTCTTCTTCAGTTGCGGAGTTTTCCAAAACATCCGTGGTAGTTATTTCCGTAATTTCAACTCTTCTTGGAGTCTTACTTCTGAGTGCGTTGATCATAGTGATATATATCAAAAGAACAAGATGCCTGCCACCGAATATAAGAGATCATAGCAATAATGACCAAAAGTTGCGAAAGGATACAGAACAGAAATATGCTGAGTTGACAGGAAGAAAAGAAGATAATCAGTACACGACCATTGATTCAACTATCAAGGAATCGGAATACCAGGAAATACATACTTATGATAATACTGAATTTAATAAGGTCATCTGAAAACTTTGTCTCATCTGATTTTTGTTTGCAATTTTTTAAAGTTGTTACGCTTTTTTTTATTTTTTAAATAACTCTTTTCAAATCCTACTGGAAAACAAAAGTGATATTTTTTTCTTCTTAAATAATGATGACTAAATAAGTTTTTTCTCATTTTTTCTTATATATACTTATATTTCTAATAATTATTGATCTGTTAACTCCAAATTAAATGCACTAGGTAAAGTTGAAATACCTGAAATGTGTGATAGTTTATCTTCTGAAAATAAAATAAAAATTCTTGTGTGAAATTCTTGAATGGCTCAGCGGTACAAGTCTGAATATATATGTTCCGATTTTCAATGAAATACTTTTCTCTATTTTTTTTTCAATGAAATAATGTATTCTGTAATATATTTATCGAATATATTTAATAAAAAATGATTTTCTTTCTCAGCCTGAAAGGTTACCGAAATGATAGTTTAAAATAAAAAAAATATAAGCATTAGTAAATTCAAATTTGCTGTAAAAAAATATTCCTTGCTTATTTTAAGATAAAGAAAAAAAAATAAACCATTTTATTAGAAAATAAAACTGTCCAAGTTCCTTAAGTACGCCATGGAAATATGTTTCGAATGTTTACAATCTCATAACCTATTTATGACGACTACAATGCTCAACTTTGACGTCATGTAGCCTATGACACAAATACAAAAAGACAGAAGCAAAGGGGAAAAAAAAAAAAAAATATAACAAATAGTTTTGTAGTTGAGTATAGGATCTATTTATTGCCTAAAACAGCTTTTTTTTCATTTCGATTAGTTTTGCAAAATATGTGTTCTAAGCTCATGAAACAAATTCCTTATGCAATGGCAAAACCAATATTACCTATGTTAACAATATTAACCAAATATCTATTTAAATGGATGGATGTTCATCGTGTTTCTTTTCATCAACATTAAAAATATTTGTGACATCAAATGTATAAGTATGAGATACTTATATTTTGGACGTAACAATTGGAAATATAAAAGGAGTTGCTATGCATATATATGGAAGGTTATGAAACTTTAAAGGCCATTTTCTATTATTATTGAGAAATATTATTGAGAAAATTGTCATAATAAAAGAAAACATTGTTCAACTAAATTGAAATTTTTTAAAAGAATCATCGACGTCTATTTAAGAAATAAATTCTGATAATAAAATTTCAAAATCACAATAGTTTATCTGAGGATTGTATATACGAGTGAAAGAGAAAGGAAACAAAGACAACCTTACAAGATCTGAAAAATGACAATAGAACCGATGGGTTTTTTTTTGGCTTGAAAGCTAATATTATGAGATTAATGTTAGATATATTACTAAACTTATATATTACACGCACACTTTTTGTTTATACATTAGAAAATATAAAAATACATATCTACCGGAAATGGCAAGGACAGGTTTGTCGTGCTAGAATGAATGGCCAATTCATTACCGAAACAAACCTGCTTGGAGCTTGGGACTAGCACCTGATGAGAGTTCAATTTCCAAAAAACTGGCATTTTAGCCGACATCTTTTGGCTTTTTGGCATCTTTTAAAATTATAATTATGCTATAGCACAAACCAAAATTTCTAAAATCAATTTGGCTTAACTCCTTCCTGGTCATTTTTTTAAATATTTTTTTTATTTTGGTTCACATATACGCACACACAAATTAAATAATCTGTTGATATTCAAAAATGTATGTACTTATCTGTTTGCTAATCATTATGTTTAATGCCTATGTTAGTATTCCTGTATGCTTTTAATTTTAACAGTACTATTGCTATAATTTTGAAACATTATATAAAATTTAATTTTAATCGGTAAAATAGTCCATGAGCCACTGGGGGTGGTCGGTACCATTTTGGGTGAATAAACTTTATAGTGATATTTTGTAAGGAATACCCCTAACAACTGAGAAAATATATGATAGCATCAAATCTGTTGTGGCTCAATGCTGGAGACACAGTTATTGCTTTTTATTTGCTCAAGTTAGGTATTTTGATCTAAATATATTTGAAACCTGCAAAGTATTTGCTACACAGTTGCCAACCGTGATAGGAAGTTCTACCAGAATTACTCCAAGATATGATAAACATATCAAAAGTACATTAACTGAGTTATTATCCGTGATTCTAACAAAAATTGCATATTTTTACCACTTTTATTCAAGTATTACATGTACCTAAAATGTGTATAACGACAAAGATTAGTACCAACTCACAAATACTAGTTTAGTTAATCGTCTGTCGGTGACGACGATGAACACTGTCTCATCTTCATGGGGGAGGGCGATGAACTGGACGGTGGGTGCAGAGGTGACTGGTCATGCCGATCCTCCCACAAGCAGACGATTGAGTTTTTCGACTAGCGCGACGCCCCCTTCTTTGTAAATCTGAGCTGGGATGGAGTATCAGGCTATCGGCTAGTGCTTTGCTAGTTGACAACAGCCTAATAAGCCTTCTGGATCTCATCCAACGTGTGAACGGCATCCAGTAACTAGTTGATGGGAACCTGTGAAGACGGTTGATGGCTTCGTCGTTGATGGTAGAAAGGCGGTTCTGAACGCCAATGAAATGTTCCGCCCACCTGTCGAGTATCTATTCCTTCTCTGTGATGAGTGTTAACCCGTCGTCACTGAGGAGAGGGGATGAGCCTGATGGAGTTGGCCATTAGACTTTTTAAAAGTCCGCAGTAAAAATTCTTCCTAGGCCTGTCATGAAATTCGGCGTAGCGTTGAATCTCGTCAGCTTTGGCATTTAGCCAGGAGTCCTGCATATCCTGAAGCTTTTTGCCGTACTATGCTGCGAGCGTTCCCCAGAGCGTCTTTCTTAGCTGTGGAGGTCACTGGGATCATCTATATGAGCCTTGTAAGCGCGATGTCTAGAAGCTGTGTGATCTCCGCACGGTTCTTATCAAACCAGTCTTTCTGTTATTTTTGGTGGAGGGCCCAAGACACTCAAAGGCTGTATTGTACACTGTATTACGCAGGTGTTCCATGCTGCTTCAATGTAGTGGTTATCCAGCACGACGGAGTTCAGGCGTTCGTCCAGGATGTCAGCAAAGTACTGAGAGGTGGAAGACAACTTGAGCTTACCAACGTTGAGATGTTTGGAAGCCTTAGTTGTCTGAGGACGTACCCTGAGTTTGAACCAGAAGTTGAGAGGTGAAGTTTAGAGACTGTGAGTCAGTGATCTGTCCAGCAATCTGGGACGCACATAGCCTTAGTAAACAAATGAACTGTCTGTCTGTCTCTCTTCCTGACAATGACGTAGTCCTGATCCTTGTTTTTTCTTGTTTTCTTTTTTATTTCGACAGCATGTGTAGGGTCCCCATCAACAGCGGTAAACTGGCTAGGGAAAGGTGGAGCAGGCAAGTTTGGGATACCTTCTATAATCTGCTCCTCTTGCCATGGAGGTGAGCAGTGCGTTCCTAAAGAAGGCTGCTCAGTACCACAGGTGGCTGCCGAACTCCAACCTGCTCTGGTCGGTGAAGACTGACCATATGGCCTATACCGCCTGTGTGCAGGTTCGCGACTACCGACTTCCAGTGAACCCGCACCTGTCACCTTCGTTGCTCGCCTGTCGCTTTGGGTGGATGATAGAAGGGATGGAAGATGATCAATGACTTTCGCAATGAGTTTGATTAAAATGAAGAAGGTTGCACGTCGCCGACCAATATGTGCCTTGCCTTGTTCCAAGCATTACACGGTGCTTGCTGTGTCCGCCTTCTTCTCCGTTGAACCATGACGGTTTCCTCCGCCGGTGCACAGTTTTTACATGCGTTATAGGTAGGCAAGCCCTCAATCAACGGGGGTTTGAGACCCGTCAGCGCTTTGTGTAGAAAGTGCTCTCCTAGAGGGATCTTCCTTAAGAGGGTATGGATTCCCTCTAACTAATGGAGGGTAGGAGCGTTAGGCCATTGCAGGTCGTGAAACACAGCCCACTGCCTACAAAGCACATATATTATTATGCACATATGTTGCTTAATTTTCAAAAATATATAATATATATTACACGTTTAACTTAGATGATCGTATAAGGGTACATGATCACCATGGTTTAGCATGAGATTAAATAAATAAAACATTTTACGTTTACAAAATATATTTGTTAAATAAAGAATTATACGCACAGTGAATTTTCCTTCAATTTTCATTTTGAGGTTCGGATAAAGATTTTCTATGAAATCAAGTTATATATATTTGCTACTGAAATGACGTTTTGGAATGCTAATACGTGATAAAAAAATTCTTTGAATTAAATGACCATGCAGTATGTTTTTGGTGTGAAAATTGTCACAGTAGTAATTTGTTTTCTTTCATCAAAATTTCAAAATTGCGTATTCCACTTTTATGATCAAGGGTAGAATTATAGTCCTCTATAATTGAAACGGCTCATTACAGAGCCAATATAGAATAATAACTGAACAGGGTAATAGCATGGTCTGCATTCAAAAGAATTTTCAAGATAATATCATTCGATATAAGATAGAAATTGCGT